ATTATTTTGTTAGAACTCGATAATTATCCTAATTATATTTTAGATTTTTTATATTTTAAAATAAGATGTTTATCCTCTATTTGATTATATTTATTCGCAATTAGTTATACGAATTCAAAAWKCGAGCTTTGATAAATTGTACTTTTGCATAATTTACTTGTAAAATAAACATTGGTTTTATGTGGTTTTGAGAAAGTGGTAATATTTTCATTTTTGAATAAAATATAAATTTAAAAATATCATAAAATTTTGAAAAACAAAATATCGATATCAGTATTAAATCAATCTTTTTAAAAGTTCTTGTGTTTTGGTGTAATTTTCTCAATTAAATTCTGTTAGTTATCAATGATTATCATAATTATATTTTAGATTTTTTATATTTAAAATGAGATATTTATTCAATCTTTGATTATGTTTATCTGCAGTTAGTTAGACGAATTCAAGTATGGAGCTTTAATAAGTTGTACTTATGCATAATTATTTGTAATCTTAAATTTTAAGTAATATATAATTAAATATTCTGTTAGAATTTAATGATTATACTAATTATATTTTAGATTTTTTATATTTAAAATGAGATGTTTATCCTGTATTTGATTGTGTTTATCTGCAGTTAGTTTCACGAATTCAGATATGAGATGAAATCGGATAGGGATGAAATCGTTTAGGGATGAACAAGTTTAAAAGTTTTTAAGAGTTTTAGCCAAATGCTTTATAAGATAGTATAGATAAGATAGAGTTGTTTAGAGTCAAAATTTTCAACATTATAATATTCTGATGACAAATAGACAACTATAAATATTCAGACTTTTATCAGTTTACAAACAATCTTATTAGTTCAAATTTCAACACCATCTTTTATCAATCAAAAATGAAATAAGACTTCAGACAACATCATATACAATATATTATCAAGAGTAACTAGAGTAAACTAACAAATTTTTACTATAACAATGACGTGCATCAAGGCATGAGAAATTGGATTCACAATATATTGTGAAAAACTCTTAATGCAATATGTGAATCATCAAGTGTTTCAAATATTTTTTTTGTTAAAATATGGTGATTAAAAACTGAATGCATCTTGATAGAACATTTGCGGTATATAACTAGTTCTCACAAAATAAGAAATATGTAAGGACGTTTTGGATATAAAATCTAACTATTGAGCAAATAATTGTAATTACTTAAAAGTTAAGGGCCTTTCTTGTAACTTTTGTAACTCATCTTTTAGCTGCAAAAACTGAAACAAAATCAGATCCGTTCCCGGGTTCCTCAACTCCACCATGGCGTTGGCATTCAATATTTCTCAAAATCATCTCTTTTCATATGCTCAGACCACACGATTCCGATCACCCTGCATCAATGGCAGACAACCAAGAAGGTTACGAATCAGCAATTTGAAGAAGGGGTGTTTGAGGTGCAACACTTCGTATCAAGACAAAGATAACTCCCCGAATGCTTGCTCTTTCCATGGCCATGCCAATGGTAAAGTTAAATTTGCAATTCTTCCCTCGTCAATTAAATCTGTTGTCTTTGTTTCTTAATTTTTGTAATATATCAGTCTTCCGTTTCAGTAGGAATGCTCGATGTGGATTTTATTTACAAAGCTAATATGCCCATAACAAACTTTCATAGCTTAATATAAAATACTACTGATTGTACCGGGATATGATTGCTGATGCATAACTAAGGTAAAATTTGCGAGAAGATTGGTAGAGCTAGTTGTTTTGAATATTTTGGAAAGAAGTACTATGTATTGCATAATCCAATTGCACAAATAGTGTTTGACAAAATGTTTCAATGGGCCTTCCTAATCCTTTATATGTTAACTTAGATTTTCGAGACAAAATTGACCTGTTACTAAACAAATTAAACAATAAAAGTGCCCAGATTAGTTATAAGTTGTAGGAGTGGTAATCTTTGCCTTCTGAAACAAGGAACAAGATCATTTGACTGGTAATTAGATGAACGCAGCACAAGAGAACAGCCAGATTGGTGCCGTAAATTGTATGAACGCAGCACAAGGGTTGTTGCGTAGTGGTTGAGGTCCTGGGGGATGTGGTGGAATATCCTATCTGTCAAGGGTTCGATTCCAGGCTAACACAACAATTGTGGCCACTGACTTTATCAGGCTGATATTTTGCAGTCACAATTTGCCGGGATTAGTCCAGATAGCTTGGGACACCCTTCAAAAAATATTGTAAATTTGCTAAAACCTAATGAGTAACTATACTTTTCAAGTCTGCAGGTAAACAAGGTCGTTTGATTAATTCTTAACCAAATTGAAGGATTAATATTACAATTTTATTGCCTGCATTCAAATGTGAAGTTTTATAGCATATAAGAAGGCAATTTATGGAGAGATCCATTCTGAATCCAACAATAATGTACACCTTATAGTGAATCATCAATTTCACATTTTAGGTTATACTAGGATTGAAAGCTGAAAACAGCCAAAATAATGAAACATTTATCCTTCTTGCTGTGTTAGATTAAGATAATTGAGATGGTTTGAAGGAAAATGCTGAAGAACTAGATCCAAGATATCGATACATTCGCTCCTCTCATCTTTTTCTTTTCTGTTTTAGCAGAATTTATCATGTATTTGAAGCCATGAAGGATCCGTAATATTTTCCTTTTTGTCATTGTAAAACCAAAACAAACAATACGTGTGCCAGAAGAATGCCCTCGACCAGATGATATACCTTTATTTAATTGTTGTCTTCAATTTCTAAAAGGTGAAGAAAACTTGTGTTAGATCCAGACATCTTTAGTGTGCATAGAAAGTTAGTCATGGTTTTTAGCATCAGCACACCTGCATTACTGGCCAAAAGAACAATGATCGTCAACTAACATAAACATTTATAATAAAATTTAAAACTAAGGGGCCGTCTACTAAATGCTTACCGGGTAAGCTTTTACTGATATCATGTACCTTACTAATTGAGCATGACAAAGAGCCGAGAATCTTACCCGGTAAGAGGCATGATAAGGACCGAGAGTCTTACCCGTTAAGTGAGGAAACCACTCTTAGCCGGTAAGAGCTTACTAGGTTTAAGACGCTTACCAAAAATCCTTTTTGATAACCGATCATGTTACATGATAAGATAAGTGATGATGATATCTCTTGCTAATAAGCACTTACCCGATAAGCATTTGGTATCGACCCTTAAGAACAATTGCTGAGGACAATAGTTCCATATGGTTCTTTAGCCAATTAAACTGAATATTAGTTTCAATAGACGGTGTTCATACCTTTGAAGTTCAATCCATGTTTTTACATGAGGATCAATCGTTTTCAGCATAATTACAATGGCACAAAAGATTTAGCATCAAAGTGATAATGGATTACATAAAAATAAGCTTCTTATACTCATAAAACAAAACTAGATTCCATCCAAAAGATCTTTGTTGTTCCACTAAATGCACCTCAATCACAGTGTTCTACTGAATACATTAGTCAGAAGTTATTTCATGTCCTCTAAATGCTTGGAGTTTTCATCATTATTAATTTCATCTATTTGGCGACTAACATATCGAGCCAACTTATATCATGCCAGTCTCTTTGGTGTAATGTCTTGGAGGTCATGTATAAAAATCCCGCGTTTTCCTTGTCTATTGAAACAACCCACCACGCACTAAGCAATACTAATAATCAAAAATCATACATCTCCACATATCAAGTACCAATATTATACAAACCTTCCAGGTTTATTTACATATGACAAATTAACAGTATGGGTTAACAAAAATTTTGTCATAATAGAACTTTCTTCCAAATATTTCTTCTTTACATCTTTCCCTTGCCTTTATCTTGAGATGATGGATGACCTGCAAAATAGTTTAGTACAATAATTGAGGGTTAGACCAAAAGGTCTAGTGAGCCAATTACCCTCTTATAAACAAAATTTACTGCAAATCCCAAGATAGATCAAACCTGAACGTTAATGTAAAATTTATATCTTGGTTATCCTACCAATCCATCTATCGCGGCTACATAGCCAATCCATCTATCGCGGTTACACCGCCATGTCATCTAATAGTAGTCAACCAGGTAATATTTAATTATTGAAGAGATTATGGTATCATTTTGTCCTATCCGAATAACACTATGTCTGGAGAGGAGGTTACCGGACAATACCTACTCTTATCCTAACAACACTCTGTCCGATGAAGGGATTATCGGACAACACTATGTCCGGAGAAGTGGTTTATCGGACAACACTTGGTATCCGGACAACCTTGATCGGTGAAGGGTCCTATCCGGACAAGCTTTGATCAGTGAGGGGTCCTATCCGGACAATACATATTCGGTGAAGCGTCCTTACCGGCTGACCTTGTGTGCGATGAAGTAGTCTCATTGGTCACTGCCTTATCCTATGAGAGTTGTTCTTGGGAGGTTTAATGGCCAATGAAGCATACAGTAGTAGTAATATAATTTACATTCCAACCAAACATATGGTAAAAATCTTATCAAAATATACAGTGAAGATATAACAACCAGATATATCCAAAGCAATAGGGAACTCACCTTTGCCTTAAAACACAACTTTGAAATCTGCTTTTGCTTCTATGGTCTCCCAATTTTACCTAGAATAATATGAAAAGTAGGATGAAATTGTGTGAAACCTTTTCCTGCCCACACATTCTTACTATTTATAGTAAGTACACAAGCCGACTCTATTGGGGGGGGTGCCTACCATGCATCCTCCCATTCAATTTTTATTATATTCACATATATATATATATATATATATATATATATATACTCAAATTTAAGTCAAGAAAAGAACCATAAACTGATTCCTCTCTAACCCTTGAATGCCAAAAACTAATCCCAAACTTTCCATTACCAAACTACTTTAATACCCGATCAACTATATTTGGAAACAGAATATTACAATATCCTCTCCTTAGAAGAATTCCGTCCTGGAATTCCACTAAGTAAACAAATGAGGATATTTTATCCGCATCTTTGACTCGAGTTCCCAGGTGGCTTCGGGCCCCTTGTGATAACGCCATTGAACAATTTCTTTATTCCTCAACGCTTTTATTTTGAAGTCAGTAATGGTTTCATGGGTTTCTTCAAAACATAACTTCTCGTCAATCTTAATATCCGGTAGAGGCACAACTACTTTGGGGTTTGTGAGACACTTCCTTAAATATGAGACATGAAAGGTATTATGAATACCACTTAACTCTACATTATGTTCTAGTTTATACGCCACTTCCCCAATTCGCTCAAGGATAGGAAATGGTCCAATATACCTTGGGCTCAACTTGCCCTTGTTTCCAAAACGAACCACTCCTTTCCAAGGTGATACTTTCAGCATCACATCATCACCACTTGAAATTCAATCGGCTTTCGACGTTTATCAGCATAACTTTTCTGACGATCTTCGGCTACTTTCATCTGTTCCCGAATCTGACTAATTTTATCTACGGTCTGTTGAACTATTTCAGGTCCAACCAACTGTTTCTCACCAACCTCGTTCCAACACAGCGATGTTCAACATTTTCGTCCATATAATACCTCAAAAGGTGCTGCTTGGATACTCGAGTGATATCTGTTATTGTAGGCGAATTCAATTAAAGATAAATGATTATCCCACAATTCTCCAAAATCAATAACGCAGGCTCGAAGCATATCTTCAAGTGTCTGGATTGTTCATTCACTTTGTCCATCCGTCTGTGGATGATAAGCGGTACTTAACTTGATCTGTGAACCCATTTCTCTTTGAAAACATTTCCAGAACATAGAAGTAAACCAATTGTCTCGATCAGAAATTATTGATAACGGAACACCGTGACGTGTTACCACTTCATCAATATATAATTTTGCCAACCGATCCATTGAATATGATTATTTCATTGGTAAGAAATGAGCAGGCTTAGATAATCGATCCACAATAACCTATATGTTGGAATGTAGGCTTCGGCCTACTAAGTTAGACAAAAGGGAGGAGGCATAAAGTAAGGAGCCGGCCCTAGCCCAAAAAGGAGCGGGCCCTAGTCTCTACCCTAGTTTCCTTGATTAGGAGATAACCCTAATTATGTTTGTCTATATATATTAATCTCATTGTACTTGTAAAC